TAAATCAAAAGTTGCCATTTAACAGTGGATTTGAAGCAGGATATGGAGAAAAAGACATATAAATGTCCGCAAATCTAAATAATTTGCATACTAAATTGCATTTCAGTGAAAAAGATTTTTAAATAATTAATATATTAGATTTCAGTTTACAGTAGAAAAATGAAGTAGAATATGGACATTTATCTTCTTTTCCTCATAAAAAAAATTTAGCACCTACAATAGTTTAAGTGTTTCTTGGAAATGACAAAACTCCAAAGTTACCTTGATTTTCAGCCGATACACTCTTAGCATGAACAAAACCTGCAGAGATTGCAGCTTCCATTTCAAAACTTGGCATAAATTATAGAAAATAGTCTGTGTAACATTAAGTTTTTATTTCTGATGTTCTTCAAATTCTTTACCTTTTTCTTTAATTGAAAATAAACTTACTATTTGATGGATTCTTTAAGGGAAGGGCAACACTTTTAAATGGTACCAGTAACTATGTTTTTAGTGTTATTAAAAAGACATTATGACAAAACATGAAATAAAAATTTAAGATCAGCTAGCTATTTTTCAGATAATATTAAACATCGTAATTTTAAACATTTTTGTGACTGGAAATGTATAGAATACTTTGCTAAGCTATTGGCTATAAATATATCTTTCAAAATTTCTATCAGGTATATTTTTAAAAAAAATACTTTATTATAAAACTAACACATGCCCTTGGTATAAAACTCAAATAGTATAACCAAAAGTAAAGTTCCTCATCATCTCCTCTCTATTTACTGTTTCTTATGTATAGTTTGGGAGCTTTGGTGGTGTAGTGCCTAAGGCATTTGACTACTAACCAGAAGGCTGGTGGTTCAAACCCACTAGCTACTCCTTGGGAGGAAGATTGGGCAATCTACTTCCATAGAGATATTGCTTAAGAAACTCAAAGAGGGGTCGCTGTGAATCGAAAACAACTCAATGGCAGTGAGTTTGGTTTGTACCCTTTGTTAAAAGAAGACAAGATCAAATTAGGTCTTATTCCGCATTCTTTTCTGCAACTTTTATTTTTCACCTGACAGTGTATTTTATATATATTTCCACCTTAGCCTCATTCTTTTGAATAGTTACTAAGGATTCCAGTGAATGGATATCATATTTCCTTTTCAACCAGTCCCCTGTTAATGGACATTTATTTTTGTCTACTTGTGCAATCACTTTCAATAAATTATTAGCAGTGGAATTCTGAGTCAATACATGCACATTTTAACTCTTGATAGGTATTGAGGAAAGGGTTGCATAAAAGGCTAGTATTTCCAAATTCTTCATTTTATTTGTCTAATATATGGAGGCTAAATGTGGATTTAGGAAAACAGAGAGGAAAATCCTATTTCTTTTAATAAAATAATCCCCACCTTTCCAGCATCCTTTGATTTGGGCATGACATATGACAAAAAATAAAATGAGCTATTTGAGAATTAATGATTCATATCCATTCAGCACTACTGGACCTTTCCCAGAAGATTGAGACTGTTTCTCCCCATTTATCCCACTTTAATCCCAGCTGACTCTCCCAGAAAGAATTTGGGCACTTGAATCCTAGGAGCAATGATCAAGCCTTTCTTCTGACTACATGTTTTTGCTCTAAGGACTATTAAATAAACCAAGCTGTCACTATACTAGTTACGGGAGGACAATATTCATCTCTTAAAAAAAAAAAAAAATCCTGCAGAAAAATATTTCTCAAGTCATGGACATTGAAAAAGTTTTGTTCTTTGCAAAACAGAGTGCTTGCTCTTTATAAAAATGTAAATCAGATTAAATGTGATTCATTGAAATCAAGAACATTGTTTCCATATATTGTGTTCATATTACCTGTGGTCTATGATGTATATTCAGGACAGATTGGGGGATGCCAGGAAGAGTACATGAATCTACAGTGTATTGCCATGCATATGACATTTTAGCTCCAGTTAATCCACAAAATAAATTACATAGAGATTTTGGCTAAATTTCAAATGATTTGGAAAAAAAATTATAAATGATGCCATTGGTATAGAAATCTGAAGTGGTTTTTAATTAATTATTAAATTATTGAAAACCGAATAATTTGAGTAATTTTAAAGTATGTTGTTGTTATTTGCCATCGAGTCGGACCTGACTCATAGCAACCCCTTCTTGGGTTTCCGAAGTGGTATCGCTACGGAAGTAGATTGCCCCATCTTCCTTCCGAGGAGTGGCTGGTGGGTTTGAACCGCCAGCCATCTGGTGAGGAGTCAAGTGCCCTAGCCACTACACTACCAGATCTCCAATAAGCTTAGTTAAATTATTTCTTGGAACTATACTATAAGAAGGGAGCTCTGGTAGCATAGTGCCTAAGGCACTTGACTGCTAACCAGAAGGCTGGCAGTTCAAACCCACCAGCCACTCCTTGGAAGGAAGGTTGGGCAATCTACTTCCATAGTGATACTGCCTCGGAAACCCAAAGAGGGGTCGCTATGAGTCGGGCCTGACTCTACGGCTGGCACATGACAACAACAACATACTATAAGAATGCCACTTAAAATTAACATTTGAATCAACTCACAGGTAAATATAGTTTTAATTATGTTTAGGAAACGAGTTGAGAATAAATTAAAAATAAGGTAATTAGAAAATTTTTATGGTAAGGTGAATGTTGTTGTTGTTAGGTGCCATTGAGTTGGCTCCAACTCACAGGGACCTTATTACAACAGAACAAAATACTGCCCAGTCCTGCATCATCCTCACAATCCTTGCTATACTTGAGCCCACCATGTTGCAGCAGCCACTGTGTCAGTCCATCTCATTGAGGGTCTTCCTTTTTTTGCTGAACCACCACTTTACTAAGCATGATATCCTGCTCCAGGGTGTGGTCTTTTCTGACATGACAGAAGTAGGTGAGATGTAGTCTGCCATTCTCGCTTAAAAGGAGCATTCTGGCTGCACTTCTTCCAGGACAGATTTGTGCATTCTTCTGGCAGCCCATGGTACTTTCAGTATTCTTTGCCAACACCACCACTCAAAAGCATCAACTCTTCTTAGGTCTTCCTTATTCATTGTCCAGCTTTCACATGTATATGAGGCAATTTCAATTGCCTCATATACATGTGTACCTTGGTAAGGTGAATAATGACCCCTTAACCAGAAGGCTGGTGGTTCAAACCCACCAGCCACTCCTCTGAAGGAAGATTGGGCAATCTACTTGACACTGCCTCAAAAACCCAAGGAGGGGTAGTTATGAGTCAGAAACAACTCAAAGGCAGTGAGTTTCTTTTGAGTTAAAGATGTGGTGGCATAGTGCCTAAGGCATTTGACTGCTGAACAGAAGCTGCAGAAGGAAGACTGGGCAATCTACTTCCGTAGCGCCTCAGAAACCCTAAGGGGGTCCCTGTGAGTCAGATCAACTTCATGACAGCAAGTTTGTTTGTTTATTGTTTTGGTTAAAGATGTTCATATCTTAATCTCCAGAATCTGTGAATATGTTACCTTACATGGCAAAAAGACTTTGCAGATGTGAATACATTAAGGATTGTTACAATGAGAAGATGATACTAGATTATTCAGGTCGTTTCAATGTAAAAACAAGGGCACTTATAAGAGAATCTCAAGCCAAGAAAGAAGGACAAGGCAAGAGATTCACTCTCTAGAGCTTCCAGAAGGAATACAGCCTTGCTAACACCTTGCTCTCTAGTGAGACTGCAAACCTACAGAAATGGGATTTTCAGTGAATTTCCAGTAATTTGTTACAGTAGCAATAGGAAATTGGAGTCAAGAACAATTTCTAGAAAAGAGCCTAAAAAAAAAA